ATGAGTATTTGAAATAAACTAAGACAGAAGGAATTTAAATTAGGACGATTAGTATATGAAGCAGTCATACAGAAGGAAAGACCAGGAACAGATTTTCTGATCTTCTATTTGCTTGCCCGTTGCATGAAATCCATCAAATTCTATATGGAAATATTCTGTATGTTCTGATACATCTGCCTGAATATAAGCTCGGTGGTGGGAGTGGAGGTGTTGTGTATTGGGTGTATTCCCAGCACCTAAAATGAGTGGCACAATGTAGTTGCTCAATAGTTATTTGTTGAATAAATATCCCTGTGTTCCAGGATGATGGGCATTTACCCTGGAAGACTCTACTAGAAGTCAGAGTCAATGACTTTACTATCTTAGGCCAAACTCATTTTCAGATTTTCTAGAAAGAAAGTGAAAACTGAGCACGGGTTTTGGTAAATGGCAGGGAGGGGAAGAGAGGGAGGAATGAGGGGCAGGAACAGGACGGAGGAAGGAGGAGAGGAAGGGACAGTGTAAGAATTCTGTATACTGAAGGGAATCTGAATTACAAGTGTCTTCTATAAAAAGAAAGAAGATACAGTATCAGGAAGCATATAGGCACCTCATAGAACCACATCCTTACCTTCCCACCTCTATCCTTCACTGCTCTCCACAGGCTTTCCTTCCTCCTCGAGGCCTCTCTTCCTTCTGGTGACTGTCAGTCCTCCTTCCCGGGGCTCCTTTTCCATTATGAATAAGAAAACATTCCTCAGCAATCCTCCCCACCTTCCTCATCTCCAGACTCATTACCTGTTGAGGACACGTCCTTACCACTGAGACATACACGGGGTTAGGCTTGCTTCTCAGACAGTATCTTGCTTGAGTCTCTTCCCTAAATTCTAACACAGTAGGCCTCCAAATCTCTCATTCTATCCTCCAGGACTAGAACTGTCAACAAACCCATCTTCTACTCACCTATTCTACGGAAGTCGTATGGATCCTGTTTGGGCTGCTAATTTAAAGAGGTTATTTACATCTTACAGGAAATGTTCAAAGCTGGATACAATCTAAGTAACCTTCCTATTTTATACAGGAAGCAAACTTAACTGCAAAAAAACAAATGTTTTAGATAAATTAATATACTTTTTGTGCTTGGTAATGATATACATGAAGCTGTTGTCATGCAATAATAAGGTAAAATGTGATTACTATCTCAGCAATCTACAAAATTTAGAATTAAGTGTTACTGAATAGAATCATAGGTTTTAAACACTGCTGAGAATTTCAGAATTTTTTTTCCTAGGCCAGAACTCATAGTGTGAGGCTATCATGTTCCTCTTTTCTATAATTAAGAAATGCGTCAATGAATTTTAAAAGTAAATTTGCTAAATAATCCAGCATTATCTCTCTCCACAAGATGATATTAGTCTTTAAGCCCACTCTATTGTGCAATAAGACATGACTCAATGTGTTCATTCATTTTTCTTCTGTTTGTCCACTGCTGTATCCCAAACACTCAGACCACTGCCTATCAGTTAAGTGGATGAGTAAACAGATATGTACTTCCTATGTGCCAGGTACGATGCTGGCCTCAGGAATGCAGCAGTAAACATGAAAACTTTCATGAAAACTGCAGGGTAGAAGATACATTGAACAAAAATCGTGTAATTATTTAATGACAATTATGATAAAATCAATAAAGGAAAATTACATCTGAAAATAGCCTCTAACATTGCCTAAGATGAGAAGGCAAAGACGTCTGAGGGACAGATATTTAAGTGAGCACCTAAACAAGGGATTTAGCAAAGGGAAGGGTGAAAAGGACGACTACTACACTTAGATGAAATGGCATGTGTGAAGATGCTGAAGAAGCGAGGGGCGTATTGCCTTCCAAGAACTGAAAGCAGATCAGTGGGAAAGATGGGGCTGGAGTCAAAGGCAGAACTCAGACAATGCAGGGCCTTGTAGACTTAAACATTTTGGACTTCACACCAAAAGCAATAGGAACTAAGGAGTGACAATCATATCTGTATTTAAAAAATTATCACCCTGGCCACTGCGTGGAGAATGGTTTGGAGGGAAAACAGAGGGAGGCAGGAAACCAATTAGGGGGTGAGAATAGAACTTACAGGTGGGAGGCGATGCTGGGTTTGACTAGGGAATTTACAGTTGGGACGGAAAAGCAGGTGGATTCAAGATCTCCGTAGCACGTATGCTACCGACTAGGGTGACTGATTTGAGTGCGGGAAATGAAAGACAGAGAAGCTCCAAGGTGGCTCCAGGCTCCTTTTATTAAGAACAGTGCAGGCCAGATTGTGGGAGAATGGGAAATCCAAAGTTTCGCTTGGGATATGTTCGAGACAGGATGTCCGTTATCAGCCAAATAATAGTGGAGCTCATTAGCAAACTAGGGTAGAGATATAAATTTGGCAGCCTTGGGGTGCAGTCAGTTAAGTGCTCGACTATTGGTTTCGGCTCAGGTCACGATCCCAGGGTTGTGGGATGGAGCGCACACTGAGCATAAAGATTGCTTGGGATTCTCTCTCTCTCTCATTCAAAAAATTTTTTTAATTTATATTTGGCAGCCTTTGGCCAGTAAATAGCAGTTGAAGCCATGAAAATAGAAGAGATTGCCCTGAGGGGCAAAGTGGAGTGAGAAGAGAAAATGGTCTAGGACTGAGTCCTAAAGAAGTCCCAGTGTTTGGGGCGCCTGGGTGGCGCAGTCGGTTAAGCGTCCGACTTCAGCCAGGTCACAATCTCGCGGTCCGTGAGTTAGAGCCCCGCGTCAGGCTCTGGGCTGATGGCTCAAAGCCTGGAGCCTGTTTCCGATTCTGTGTCTCCCTCTCTCTCTGCCCCTCCCCCGTTCATGCTCTGTCTCTCTCTGTCGCAAAAATAAATAAACGTTGAAAAAAAAAATTAAAAAAAAAAAGAAGTCCCAGTGTTTAAAGTGCACAAAGACGAGCCAACGGAGAAGAAAGAAAAGGCTAGAAGGCTAATAAGACAGCAAACAGAGCATAATAACATGAAAACTAAGGGAAGACATGGTTTCCAGGAGGGAGAAGGGCACCTGGCTGGCTTAGCATGTGGAGCATGTGACTCTTGATCTCAGGGTTGTGAGTTCAAGCCCCATGTTGTGTGTGGGGGCTATGTGTGTTTAAAAAAAGAAAAAAAAAAAAATCAGAGATGCTCCTAATTCCTTCAGCTGATTTGATTTTCTTTATTTGAGCCCCTAAAGCATTTTGACCATACCTCTAATCCTGCTTTTTACTACAATTCTGCTTTATGCTATTTTATTCCCCTACTAAAATATAAAACCCCAGAGTAAAGAGTGATGGCTTAGCCACCTCTACCCCTAAAAGCACCTACAACAGTTCTTTGCAAAAGGTAACATATAGACATTTTTACAATTATGAAGTACACAAAATGGCTCATTTAAAAATTTAGTTGTTTCAAGATCAAGTCTCCATATACTGTATAATCAAGAAATACTAAAGACTGAGAAATTAAATTAAAAGACAGCAAGAGCCACAGTCAACAAAATCTGTTAAAATAAATCTAGTCCTGGGACGCCTGGGTGGCTCAGTCGGTTAAGGGTCCGACTTCAGCTCAGGTCACGATCTCGCGGTCCATGAGTTCGAGCCCCGCGTTGGGCTCTGGGCTGATGGCTCAGAGCCTGGAGCCTGCTTCAGATTCTGTGTCTCCCTCTCTCTCTCTGCCCCTCCCCCGTTCATGCTCTGTCTCTCTCTGTCTCAAAAATAAATAAACGTTAAAAAAATTTTTTTTAAATAAATCTAATCCTATCATGAAGGGCAGATATTTTTTTTATCATCCTCCTGCCTCAGAAACTAAAGAATGGTGACTCAGAAAACAAATTCCATGGCCCGACAATATGAAAATCAATACTAAATAAACATCATCATCTATCTTACTCAGTGATTTAGCTCAGTATGGAATCAGATACCTTTTAGTCATCCGAGAAGACATACGGAACTTTCTGGACATCTGCTGCTGTTATCAGAGTCCTATGGCTTAATATAGTTAGATAGTTAATATGGTTATCATTATATAATTTAATTTACTTACCAGTTTTAACTAATAAAATAGTTATTTTAGACATCAGATCTTCCATACATGAAAAAAATTTAAAAATCAGTAATTGCCAAGTTAAAGAAATCCCATCAGGAAAGGACTAAAAATACAGGCAGCATTCATCTTCAGACAATTTACCCAAAAAATACCCAATTCTGGAGGGTAACACTCTTTTAATATCTTTTAAAATATTAAACCTCTATTTCAAAATGGACATGGTACTTCATATATACTCACTTTTCATAATTCTTTCCTCAACTCAATGTTGCAGCCAAAACTTCAAGCATCTGAAATTGTTGAACAGTAATTTCAGCTGACCCACCAAGAGAACACAAGCAGATGTCTGTTAATTTTATGTGTCAACCTGACTGGCCAGGGGTGCCCAGATTACATGTTATATCTAGGTGTGTCTGAGAGGATGCTTCTGGACAGGATTAGCATTTGCATCACTGGGCTGGGAAAATTTCCCTGCCCAATGTGGGGGGGCATCTTTTGGTTTGCTGAGAACCTGAATAAAATAAAGGGAGATGAAGAAGGAATTAATCCCTTTTTTCCTGCCTCACTGCTGAGCATCTCATATTCTCCTGCCCTCATACTGGGATTCATACCATTGATTCCACTGGTTCCCAAGCCTTCAGGTTCAGACTGAATTATGCTGTTGGCCTTTTTGGGTCTCCAGCCTGTATGACAGATCGTGGGATTTCTTAGCTTCCATAATACATGAGCCAACGTCTCATAATTAAAAAAATATATATTTTTAAAAATGTATATATACACCTTGTTGGTTCTGTTTCTCTGAAAAAACCCTAATACAGTATACAGAGAGATATTTCATCTGGTACTTCCCTCAATATACCCCATCAAATACCAAAAGGAAATAACGTATCCTTTGAAATACTGTCGTCATGATATAAAATAGTGAAATTTACTGAAAATTTCTAAAATCCTTCAAAAATAAACAATTATTTTATTAAACAAACAGTAACAATTTGGGGGGAAATTTTGGGAAATATGGTTTCAGTACAATAGTATCAGAAATTCACATAACTATATTTAAGCAGAAGTTCACTTTAGCTTATTTTCAGCTCACAATTACATATGTTCAAAATGCCATTGGTTTCTTCTTAACGGTCTGGTAAATGCTGGAACTGATATACTTCAGTGATAATTTCCCTAGGAGGTCTGCTAAAAGAAAAAGTCATGCAAAACCAAATGAAAGCTGAATGTTGTATTTTGACATGGGCTGTAGCTACCTAATTGTATCAATCTGAAAGCTTATACATAAATAAGCACAGAGTTAGGGATTAGCATTGTATAAACTATCAGCTATCAGTGTGAACCCTTCCATGGCTTTCTCTGGTCATCTAGCACCATTTTGATTCCCTTGTCCTTGTGATAAGTGGGTAAAGGTCAAGAAATACCCGAGTAAAAACAAAGACAAGTGATTTTTGCTTACTATCTCATGTTTTTATTACCAGCTAATGTTTTTTCTCATAATTTGAGTAGCTATTAACAAAAAAGTGTGTTTCTTTTCATATTTCATGTAAAGCTTCAAAGACAACCAGAATATCATCTATATTCGGTACCTCTCGCACCAGAAAAAGGCTTAACTAAAACTAATTAAAATATTTGGGAACTTAGTTGTGTCAATACTACTCTAACTGAAAGGTCTTTTAAGTGAAAAGATTTTTTTTTAATTTTTTTTATTTACCTATGATTCTAAGACATGCAAGAAACCAAAAATCACACTTTCTCTGAAATTATACATTGTATACGTATTGCAAAAACATTAAACATTAAATAATTTAAATTGAGTTAAATACATGACTACATATAATAAATTTAGGAATTGGAAGCATTAATAGAACACAAAAAACTGCTCAAATTAAATTCTAGATTAAAAAAAAAAAACCAATAAAGTCTGTTATTTATTGTCCAAAAGCCAAAATACCTATTTGGTGGCTATTAAAATAGGTGTATTTGCAGAGGATTTTTAAGGCAGTGAGGCTACTCTGTATGATACTACAGTGGTGACTATACGACCTTCTGCACTTGTCAAAACTCACAGAATGGACAATACCAGGAGCGAACCCTAAATTTGGGTGATAACACTATGCCAATGTAGGTTCACTGATTTTAGCAAATGTATCATTCTGGTGGGCTATGTTGATGATGAGCAAGGTGTGTGTATGTGGGGGTCAGGGGTACCTGGGAACTCTCTGTACCTTCCTGTCAATTTTGCAGTGAACCTAAAACTGCTCTAAAAAAATAAAGTCATTTGTCTCAAAGATGTAAAACACTACAGTCAAGGTGATTTCTCTTGAAAGTTCACATGAGTACTGACCAATATTTCATTGTTCACAAATCTCAGAAAATTATTTCCAAATGCACACTGTCAACACCACCAGTATAAGATAAACTCTAGGGAATAGAAGCAAAGAACGTGTAAATTAGGCATATTTTGTAGCTTGTGGAGATGATACCTAGGAAAAAAGGAATTAAGGGTTTACTTGAGAAAATCTTAATGAGACATACAGAACATAAGAACTAGAATGAAGACGGTATTCTAAAGCTATACCAAAGTATCTTCTGGTCTAAAATATCACCATCTGCCTCCTGGCATGTGTGGACAAGGTAAGAGAGAGAAAAAAATGGAAGACCATGACCACAGAGCAGTTGGTCTACTCATTAGCAAAACTAAAGTCAGACTTGCCAAGATCAAGGAAGGCATTATCTGTTTCTCCAAGCAGCTATTCTTTTGGGGCATAGTTTGCATAGCTGACTAACCTGAAATTAGGCCCACATACTGACTTCTAGTGAGTTCCTGAGAGAAACTGCAATAGAAAATATGTGCTATATAATGCTATCACGTACAGTTTCTTAAAAAACATGGGAAAATAGCACTGTGGATTATAGAACGAGTAGTTCATATATATATATCTATATCTCTATATCTATAGAGATATATATAAACACTAACAAAAGGGAAATAATTATCATAAAATATTGAACTTGCTAATTAAGCTCATTTAGTTCTGCTAATTAGGAGGAGCTATATGGAGGATAATCTTATTCCAACTCCAATTAAAACAAAAGGCAAAATATTTGAGGGAGGAAAACACAGCAAAATGTGTACACACAAGGTTTCCAATTAAACTTCAACCTTCTGGTGTTTTCGTTTATTCTTGCCAAAACATAGCGTTCTATATTTGAAGTTTCTCGGAGATAAATAATTTATACAGTGGCAATGTGACGCCTTATGGGTAAGAAGTAAGAAACCTAGGGCACAACTCTTCCCCGAATACCTAAGAGCTGAAGTGGTTCGATGATTCATATTTGTTTTCTCAGAGAAGAGAGGTAGCAAGAGGTAAGCAGTGGAGTCAAGATCTAATCAAGAATGACTGGCACTGAAACAGTCAGTAGTAAAGTCTTCTACATGTCTAACAGTACTAACAGAGACTTGATATATTAGATTTTAAATATCTAGGGAAAGCTTTCAAAAAACCCGTAAATGTAAGATAGCAATCACCACCTATGGTTGAAATTCTCATTGATTTTATAATTTATTTAGTTGCCCCAGAAATACTACTCTTTATTTCACTGTCTATTTTGGCATAGTTTTAAAACATCCCCTCTATTTTGGATATCAGATATAAGTCATCCCATTTTCTTTAATCAAATTTAATTTTCTATAAGATCCATTACACATTACAATTATGACCTCCATAAATAAATTGACAAATGTATTGATTTGTCTCTTTTCATTGGTAGCAAATTGAAATCCTAAGTCTTCTAAAAGAATGTCAAATTCTTCATCAAATTAATGTGTGAAGTCTTCAAGATGGATTTAATCTGTGCCACTTGATAACAACCTTTTCTGGATTTGTAATGGTTTCTTTCCACTGATTCACTGCTTCAGTGTTATTACTGTCTTCGCTTATCCAAATCTAGAAAGGAACAGCACAACCATTTAACAGAGTCTGAATTCAAACTGCTAAGAACTCTTATGGATGAAAGACGAGTGGAAGTTTGGTTCACGTACTTTCAATTAAACATCTTTCCATTTTTCCAAAATTTTGTTTGATTTCTATTTGAAACGTAAATGTTAAAATACTTAACCTAGTCACCCTGCAGACTGTTTTATATGAATCAATCCAATTTAAAAATTCAACATGAAAGATTATAAAAATCATTTCTCCCAAAACAGTAATTAGTATCTTTTGTTATTCAATAAGCCTAGGAGCTCAACTTACAATTGATCCTGATCATTTGAAACACTTCTGTGAGGATTAACGGAGACTAATCATGATTTAAGTTAGATTGGTAAGAAATGTCCATTTTAAGCACCTTTTACATTAGATAAAGCTGTGATTTTAATTGAAATATAAACTAACTTTAGGTAATAGACATGAATGAATTTGAGAAAATTGCAAAGCATTATGCAAATGTAAGACATCACACTGGTTACATACCACAGAGGCAAGGTGGGCAAGGAACCCAAAGCCTGAATTCTCATCTCAGCTTTAGCACTACCAAGTGCCGCTACTTTGGAATTAACTTCTGTGAGACGGAGTTTCTAATTCTTTTAAATAAAGAAACTGGAGCAGACCACTGATTTTCAACCTTTCCCCCTTAATTTCCTGATCTGAAGAACTTTACCTTCATATAAAATCTTACAAAGAACCTTAATATATGATATGAATCAGATAACGCCAGCATGCTCTGGCTGATGTAAGGGTGGGGAGACCTTGAGTCCACATTTGGCTACCCCATCATGATGGCTACTAAGGACACCAGAGAAGCCAGAGGGAACAGATGGACAGCCAGAACCCTTCCAGAATTATTATTCTTAACTGGACTCTCAACCAAGAAAATGGAATCACCAAAAACGTTATGCTGAAAATCACCTGAAATCTCCCATTCCATTCCTACATGATCGCTGAGGCTTAGTGAGATAGGAAGCCTTAACTGAATCAACTTCATGGGCCTCACGGCTTTGAAAAGTATGCTACCTATATGAGTTTTTGAGTCCAAACTCTTTCCCAAATAGGAATAAATGAAGAACGACAAAACTGTAATTTTTTAAATAAATGTTTTAGGTAAAACACATGAAGAAGTGGGTCAAAAAGTTATTATCAATCTTTGAAAATTCACATATAATTTAAGGATTTCACATAGGCTGCTAATAACATCTTGTTATCAAGCAGACAGAAGCCTTTAAACCAGTAATGTAGATTTTGGAATTTAAATTCAAGCCAAACAGGGGCGCCTGGGTGGCTCAGTCGGTTAAGCGGCCGACTTCAGCTCAGGTCACGATCTCACACTCCGTGAGTTCGAGCCCCGCGTTGGGCTCTGTGCTGACCGCTCAGAGCCTGGAGCCTGTTTCAGATTCTGTGTCTCCCTCTCTCTGACCCTCCCCCATTCGTGCTCTGTCTCCAAAATAAATAAACGTTAAAAAAAAAAAAAAATTTAAATTCAAGCCAAACAATCATAATTAAGATAAAAGATAATGAGCTACTTTTGGAAACTACAAAGGAAACAAGTCCCTATAGGATTGGCAAGTAAGCAAGTGTTCTGTTGTCTTACACAGATGACTAAAAATTTTTAAACAGATTAATCTAGACACCAATACTAACTATCTAAATACCACCACAACCACTGCTAACACTAATGTTTTCAAATTCAAATCTAACATTCAAATTTCAAATTCAAATCTAACATTATTCAGTTAATAGCATACAGAGTTAAACATTAAATCGAACAGGACACAGAAAGAAGAAAGTTGGATATCTCCAGCCTTACAAAATTTGATTTAAATACTTAGCGTCAAACTCAACAGTACTGAAAAACTGACCTTTCTTATAGTGTTTACAGCTGAGAAGCTCAGAAATAGACTTATTTCAAGATAAGAAGCCTGATTGCTGAGAAATTCCAACTATTTGTATTAAAGCAAAGTGTGACAAGATTTCATTTTTGTGGCAACATTACATTTTATGATGCTGAAGAATTTTACTCTATTCAACTTCAATTTTATCCCGTATTCCCTTTGATGACTAACTGCTTTGAGCATACAAAAGTGCAAGCAAAGAATTCAAGATAAAAAATCCCTACTAACCTGCCCCACAAAGTGTCGTCTTCTTACAGAGCTCCGACTGTAAAGCTTAATGAGAAAAATAATTTCTTTTTCATTCTGTCTGAGTGGAAAAATCATAGTTTCTCCCCACTTTACTCTGCCACTGGAGGCCTTCAGTAAGCGTGTCTTCTTCTTATAAATCAACTCTCCTGAACTAAACATTGCCACCTTCACAAAAAAACCTAAACAATAAGAAATTTTGATATGTAAAATTTTATTTTAAATGTCATAAAAGATACATATCTATATGTTATATTTGGTGTGAAAATACAGATAAGCCGCTTCTCAAGATCTGACGAAAAAAGAAAAGATCTGACGAGCTCTTGGCATAACGGAAAACATCTCTAGTAAACTTTATAGTTCTCATCACGCTTTACAAAAAACTACAGCAACCTCCAATGAATCTAATCTTTCTCTAACCTGAATGCCATTAAAGACTGGAAACTGGAGGCATACATGACAGTCAGCAATAGGGCAGCACACACTGAAAAGTATTATACAAAAGAGAGGGGCCAACTCTTTGGACAGCTGGAGGAATTTAGTTCACGGTTTTACACAGATAAAATTCTTTGCTCGAGACTCCTGAGGTTAAACACACACCCACTAGAGAAAATTTACTCTTTAAATAAATGGAGATAGAGAGCTTCCAGGAATGGCAGAATAGTTGTAGAAACTAACCTTCCCATAGATTAAAATTATAAATTCTGGGGAAAAAAATATAAAAAACAAGTGCACAAGCCATTAAAGTTTGACCAAAAGCAGGAAGAAATTGGAGGAGAGTCAGCTTTTACAGATGGGAACTGCACTGGGTAAAATTCAGGTTTATATAA